GCATCATCATCATCATCATCCTCAGCTTACTCATACTCATCATCCTTAAGATCATCATCATCACCATTATCAGCATCATCACCAACATTATCATCAGCATCATCATCATCATCATCATCAGCATCATCAGCATGATCAGACTGATCAGAATCATCATCACGAGCATCAGCATCATCATCATCCGCATCCTCCCTCAGCATTATCATAATCATCAACAGCATCTTATCCTCATCATCAACCCCATATCAGTATCATCATCGTCATCATCGTCATCATCATCATCGTCATCATCCTAATCCTCATCCTCATCATCGTCCTAATCATCATCAGTAGCAGCAGCATCATAATCTCCGTCATCATCATCAGCACAATAAATGATTTCATCTTCATTTTCCTTATCCTCCTCCTTCTCCTCGTCATCCTCATCCTCATCTTCATGACCAGCATCATCATCATCATCATCATCATCATCATCATCAGCATCATCGTAAGCATCATCATTCGCATCCTCCTCCTAATCCTGATCCTCATCCGCAAACTCATCATCAACATCATTATCCTCACCATCCTCACCCTCATCCTCATTGAGCATCATCATCAAACATCAACATCATCATCATAAGTATCAGCATCATCATCACTGAAAACGCCATCATCACCACCACCAGTATCATCATCATCCTCATCCTCACCAAAATTATCATCATCTTCCACATCCTCATCCTCATCCACATCCTCACTCAGCATCATCATCATAATCATCAGCATCATCATCACCATCATCATCACCATCATCATCATCATCATCATCATCATCATCATCATCATCATCACAATCGTCATCATCATCTTCTTCTACAACTTTGTCATGTTGCCCATCCTCCCTCAATCCTCCCCTCAAGTCTACGCCAGGGATCCCATGCGCGGCAGCGGGGGCAGGGCGCGGCACCAGAAGTTCACGCACAGCAGCACGCACGGCACCTGGCCGAGCCACGAGCCTGCGCCGAGGGGTGGCCCACCGCCGCACGGCAACGGCGCAAGGCCAAAGGCCGAGACCGAAACTGGTGGCGAGGCCGAGGCCGACGCCGAGCCCGACAGAGCGCAGGCAGCGCAGCACTGGAACCCGGCAGGCGCGGTGGCGCAGCGGCGGCGCGACAGCCGACCGAACCGAGAACAAGGCCGAGCGCGACCGACTGCAACGCATCCAGCCACGCCCCCACGGCGGCGGCGCGAGGCCGAAGACCGACCGACCCAGCAGCGACTGGAGGCCTTGCCCTCACTGGCCGAATTACCCACCTGGGTGAGGATACATGGCCTAGGGTTGCCACCCCCCCTCCCCGATGTAGATTGGATCGAGCCCCCCCTCACGCCCGGCCCCCCCGCTGGATGGGTACGCCCGTGAGCCTTGCAAAGGCCGCCTGGCAAATGGGATCGTTCCCCCCCTTCCCCTGTGGACGTGGCCCTGCGGGCGTTGCGTGGTGGAGGGTGCCCGTGCTCCCCCCCTGTGGGTGTAGGGTGGTGCGTCGTCGTCGTCGTCGTCGAGTTCGTCGTCGTCGTCGTTTTCATCGTCGTCGTCGTCGGTCGGCGTCGTCGTCGTCTTCGGTGTCCGTGTCGGTGTCGTCGTCGACCGTCGTCCGTCGTCGTCGTCGTCGTCGTCGTCATCGTCGTCGTCGTCGTCCGTCGTCCGTCGTCGTCGTCGTCCGTTATCCGTCGTCGTCGTCGCCGCCGCCGTCGTCGTCGTCGGTCGTCGGTCGTCGGTCGTCGATCGTCTCTCGTCGTCGTCGTCGTCGGTCGTCGTCGTCGTCTTCGTCGTCGTCGTCGTCGCCCCCACCCCAATCCCATTTGGGGGAGGGTGGAACACTGAGGCCCATCCTCCCATCTGTGGGGGGCTGTGAACCCGCGACCGGGGATGTGTATATAATTATGTGTTTGTTATTTTATTTGGACTCGGCTTGACAGCAAAGGCCGCCTCCCCGCACATCTCTTCAGTCCCTGCCGATGGAGCCTCACTCAATGCAATTTCTGTAATACACATTACGCTTGAAAATTGGGATTCCGAGCTGAGAAAGATCGCCTGCCCCCTGCAGGGCAGCGAACACAGCAAGTGCCAGCTGGAGACCAGACACTTCGGCGGAAAAAGAATCGGTTGCATTGGGTCCCCACGTCCCCCCGAAAGCCGCGACCTCCCAGTCGCAGCTCCCTTGGGAGACACGGAGAGTGAACCCGCCCGCGTTCCGTCCGCACCCGCGCCACCCGCCGTCTCAGTGGGCTAAGGAATTGCGCGGCGCAGCTAACAATTCATCAATACAAGGGTCGAGGCATAAGAAATCCGGAAACCCCGGCCAAAATCTAAAACTGCATTGCACAAGCGATCCGCCTCTTGATTATGATGGCGGGGCCGCCACAAGACCGGAGCCTCGATCGGATCCGGCAGTCTCCACCCTTCGGTCACGCACTGTAGCAAACAGTCCGCTAGAGACGAAAAGTGGGTGAGACGCTCCCACTGGACGAACGACGATCCACTGAGGGCCTGCGCCAAGGCTTCGTTATCGACAACAAACCGGAAAAATTGACTCGAGTTGGAGGGATCAGGCCAGGACGAATCGGAGGGAAGGAGAGGAGGAATGATATCAAAGAACAGGCGGCCCTCAGAAGTGAAGAACGTGTCGTACCCGAAGTCCCAGTCGCCAGTGCCCGTCCCGCCCGTCGTAACGCACGCCCGCTGCTCCGCGTCGTCATGAAGAGGCCGTCGTCGTTTACCATGTCGCCCAGCCTCCTCCGCCCCCTCCTCCGTCTCCCCCTCGCCCTCCGGCTTCTTGCGTTTAGCGCGGGTCCCCCGTGGATCGGCCAAAGGATTCGCAGTTAGTTTACGAAGCTGGTCACGATGGACGGACACGTCTCTATTCCAACCAGGAAGGTGCCATTTGACGCAAAGGCGGTTGATGAAGGACCACTCCTGGTTCTTCCACTCCCCAGCACCATTCATCACCTTGATTTCCCAATCAGGGACGACAGTGTCCCAGAAGTCCCCTGGTTGCGGGGTAGGGGGGCCTGGCCGGCGATATCTCCACTCCCTTGCGTCATCACGTCGCAGACTGGTACACCAAGAAATGCACGCCTCTGCCGTAATTCGGTGGTCACCTCTACGATACAGAAACAACAGGCGAATGGGGAATTCTGGCATACCAGACTTGTCGGGCCCCCAGCTCCAATGCATGGACGTATATCTCCATCGATGAAGACGCTGAAGCCATTTATGTGAACTTGGGGTATTGCCCAGAATGCGAAGCGCCCTTCGAGAAGACGCGCTGTGCGGTAGTTGTGCCCTTGCAGACCCTCCCCCGGCAGAAACCTCAATTTCAAAGCCCGTCGCAGATGGTTATCCTCCCAAGCACGCGCCTTCTGCAGACGCTCTTGCGCGGGTACCCAAGAAGCGCAATCGTAGAGCAATGAGGTGGTGGGGCCCCTAGAGAAGGCCTGGACCTTTCCTTCCCAGCTGGCGCTGGGATTATGAAGGCGTCGATGGATTTTCCCCACGTTCCCCTCCGCTTTCAGAAGTCGATGGCCCCAGAAAGCCACTGTATCACCCGCCCTGGTCAGCGTGGCGCCGAGCAGGATGGCTTCGGCCACGAGGGGGAACTGGATGATTCCCTGCCCGTGCGTCGGCACTTCGTGGACCGATGGTGGCTGATCGACCCCCATCCCACAAAGCACAACGCTGTCCTTCATCTTGATGCGGAAACCGTTCTTGTGGAGAACGGCGGCCGTGTCGGAAATCATGGTTTGGATCTGATCTGTCGCCCTGGCACATGATATCAGGCTGTCTGCCCGTACTAACAGTTCCTAGCAAAGACCGTCGACGGGAGCACCAAGGCCGATCGCTTCCCAGTGCCGGACGACGGCGCCGAATATGTTAGTTAAGAGGCAGTTGAAGAGCATGGTCGTTTCGACTCCTCCCTGCCTTCCGCCTTTGAGATAAGGAAACCTGCCGCTCGCCCCGACTCCCGATATGTACATGTCACCCTCGAGACCTGGCAACTCCCTCAGAATCGCCACCACCAAGGATGCTGGAATGCTCGATGATAGCAGCGCATCCGAGACCAACTGACGCAGCATATTGTCGAACGCAAACTCAATGTCCAGAACCGCGAAAACGTAGGGGCGCTTCTTGAACTTATCGGAGATGACCAAAACCCTCCTGACGAGATCCACCAAGTGCAAAATAGAAATCCCTGGAGTGAACCCAAAAATCCGGATCCTGGTTTGTTGCGTGAATCGCCGAATCGCGTACCCCACAGATCTCAAAGACCATTCTTGCATATTCGGAGACTTGGCAACGTACATCCAGTCAGAAAAACCTTGGGACCGAAACTGTTTGGGCAATCCGGTGAGGTCTATGAGCTTCCAGAACTCCCCGTGCCCCTTCCCTGTGGCGAAGAAGCTAGCGAGCCGAATGAACAACTCTACAACGACGAGGAAAGGCAACATCTGCAGCATTTCGCCAACGGCCCCATACCTGGCAGGCGCCGCGCCAGTGGACATGGCACCCCGGGCAGCGAGGAACTCCATGAAAGTGAAACGACTGGGCCCACAATGGCGCCTGATGTGGTTATCCTGAGCTTCATTGATCGCAATTGCCTCTATTTGCATCGCTCGTAAATCCTGCTCCTCGTAACCATTTCCAGCATCGCAGTAGCGGTCAGCACCGAAATGCCGCAACAGCTCTGGCCACCGGGCATGGTCTGCGCAGAAATCCCCAAATTTGGGCTGATGGGCAACAGGCACAGGAATCCGAGGAGGCAGACGGGTGAACACCCCTTTTTGCCCTGAGTTGACGAGGGCGAGACCCTGGTCCCCCCGCAGCCGCCTGCGCGCCCTGCTGGTCCGATTGCACATGCGTCGCATCGTTCGATCGAACACCCCCCGAGCCGAGTCGGATCGGATACGCATCAATAGAGACTTCTCCTCGGAGGACCGCTGTCGGCCCAAACAGAATCTGATGCTCGACGTCGTCGCGGAAATCGAACTCGCCGCGTGGCCGGCGCGGTGTTCCCAGTCCGTGATTTCACAGCCCGGAAAGAATAACCGAAATCGTCGCAACGGCGGCGTCGGTGTCGTCGCGGCACCGGGTCGTCGCAACGGCAGCGGCGGCGTCGTAACGGTGGCGGCGTCGGTGTCGCAACGGCGGCGGCGGTGTCGCAACGGCGGCGTCGGCGTCGTCGCGGCGGCGTCAACGGTGGCTTCGACGTCGTGCCGATGACGAGGCTGGGGATGAAGAGGGGAAACAGGAATTGGAACAACAGTGCTTTTCATGACGCAGAGTATCTGGAAAAGCATCGCGTCCTCCGCTGTGTCTGGCTTGCAACCTTTCTGCGAGAACGGACGAGTCTGGCAGCGCATGACGCTGTGCTCAAAACCCACGCCCCCCACCACCATGACATGATCGGACTTCACTGCCTGCGGGGTCTTGGGGACGACTTGAGCATGATCCAGAACGCGCCAAGTAGCGTGACCCCCGTCGAGAGGAAAACCGAGATAGTCGATTTGAGATTCGCTACCCCTCGAATTCCTCCACGGCACAGGGCGGCTTTGCAAATTTCGGTCGCAGGCGTCAGCGAAAGTATTTATGAGCACCGTGCGCCTGGCCAGCAAGAAACGACATACTCGAGCGACCTTGGTCTTCGAGTGCCCCGCGTGTGCTTCAAAAACCCAGGACCCCATCAGGTTCGGAATGTTTCCGGGTAGAGTCAAAATAGCGTCTACGCCAATAACCCATCGCTTAACTGGCGGGCTAGTTCGCTCCCTCTTGGCACATTCCACCTCCGCACCCTCTGGCGCGTCCTCCCAATCGGCGCTCGCGCTGGCACCGTTCCCAGGAACTACATGCATGCTGATGTATCCGCACTCACCACACTGCAACATGCAAAATACTTGTCGGAAAAACGGTGATGTATCAGGTCACGCCAGCCCCCAGGGACTGCGATGGCGCAGTCCTCCCCCATCTGCGAGCGGAGCGCAAAGCCAGAGAACTCCCCGTCCTCCCACTTCGGCACCTCTTGCAGCAGCAGCAGCACGACCTGTTTCCGCACGCTCTTGCGGACCTTACTGAAGAACGCCTTCCTAGTAGAAGCAGCTTCGCGCCTCAAATTCGCAGTCAGAGCCCAAAGTTCTGTGAGCTCTTGGAGTTTAGGCTCCACTCGGCACCCCTACTTCCTCATCAGTAAGACAAGGCGTTCCTTGCTCCACCCAAGGGTCTGTAGCACCTGCGTGTCCCAGACCACCGAGGCGTTCGCGTCCACTCCAACAATCATGTGGGAGGCCCCATCCAACTTACCCACTTCGACGGAAAAGGATTTCTGCCAATCTTCCTTTACCGCGTAACCGTCCGTCCTCGCCTGCTGCTGCACTGCGTCCACTAGGGAGCCGTAGGTCCGGTAGCGCATCATCCTGATCGGGCGCTGCTCGGCGTTGATCTTCGGCCACAGCTCCACCCCAGCAATGGGCAGGTTCTGGCTGGTCATCGTCTCCCGCATGGCGGCTCTGATGCTCTCGACGTGAGCCGGACTGACGGGGATCTCGACCTTGTAGATATCCTCCGTGGTTCTCGCCTTTGGGCCACCTAGCTCTGAAGCTTGAGACCCAAGGTGCGCCTTGATGGAGTTCAGCCAGTTGCGGACAGTCGTGAAATTGACCTTGTGGGTGTCCTTGTCCTTGTACTCACATATTTTGATGACGATGTTCGAACGCTTCCACTCTCCAGTAGATGACCCCCCGCCTGCGCTCGAGGCAGAGTCGGCCTACTGCTTCTCGAGCTTGGTCACCCTGGATTCCAAGGCCTTCACCGAATCTTCTATCGCCGCGAAGCGTGGTTCATTCTGCATGGTCACCCGCTCCACAAGCGCGTCCATGGAGTCATGCACTCGGTTGGTGTAGAGATCGAGGATCGCCTTCGTCCCAGACGGCAGGGAAGCCAGCGCTGCGGCCTCCTCTTCCTGCACCTTACGCATGGCCTCGGTCTTCGACCTCTTGGCCTCTGGACACTGGGCCTCCGACATGAGCGTGATTGGAGCGGAGAACAGTAGGGAAGACAAGTAAAAGTGAAAGGCGAACTAGAAAACTCAACAGCGCGGCCTGGCTTGAGCAAAAATGGCTTGAGGTTTGCGAGGCATGTCCCCACCCGGGAGGGTGGGCTGGTGGGGCTGAAATACCATGGACCAGTGGGGGTGGGGATACGTTAGACGATGCTGAAATAGGGAGGATGAGGCCTGGGTATGCTTGGCACCGATGCGCCACTTGGTCACGTTGGACCTGTGGGCTGCCGGTGTGGGCTGTGCGTGCGGTTGCGGCGGAGCGGGCGCCACGGCCACCTCGGGGAAGGCGGGCCAACAGGCTGCGGCCAAGATTGGCACTCGGCTCCCAGGCCCCCAGCCAGGGCACCCCGCGGCGGCGACCGTGGTGCGGTGTGGACGCCCCTCAGGATGGCCAGAAAGCGAACCCGAGCACGCCGAAGGGATCGATGAGCGCCCCGAGCCCAGCGGGGGGGCCCTCGAAGCCAGGGAGCTTCACAAAGTACGGTCCCGAAGGCAGCCGTCGTGGCCACGCGCCTAGAGGGAAAGACGACGGTGGCCCTGGCCGAGAGTGAACATGGAAACGTCGGCGTCAATCTTGGTCATCGTCCAGCTTGGGCATCGTCAATTCGTAGATCGTCCTCGCAAATCGGCGACGGCTGGCATGCGCCATGACCAAGATCGGCGTCGACAAGATTCCACGACATCTTGGTCATGGTCATCGTGTTTCTTCCTTCGACCGACAGAGCGCAGGCAGCCCCACGAGGGCCGCGGACCGCGGACGCGCAGCGGCGGCACAGCAACCGACCGACCCGAGGACGGGCCGAGCGCGACCGACTGCAACGTATCCGAGCCGACCGATCTGTGGACACCCGTTGGACGTGGAGGAGGAGGGAGGGAGGAGCGTCGGGCGGACGTTGACGGAAGGGGCAACCAACAGGGGGGGGGGTACAGTCGGGGCGCACGAAAGCGGCCATGAAGTAGCCTCAAAACAACACTTCCACCACGCGTCCAACAGGTGCTGGAAACGTGCACCCTCCGTCACCCACTGGCCGATCCCCCCCTTGCCGTCCGTCCGAGGCCGTCCGTCCGAGACAGGAGAGACGGCTACGGCCACGGGTTCCCTTTACGCAGACGCACCAGATGGAAATGGGGCTTAGCAACACTTCGCGAAACGAGTAACACGCGTGCACTCGCACTTGCATTGGGGAGCGGCGAGGAACAGGAGCAGGGCGAAGAGGAAGGGCCTTTTCCTCCACGTCCTCCTCCTCATCCTCCTCCTCCTCCACCTCCTCATCCTCCTCCACCTCCTCCTGCTCCGCCTCCTCCTCCTCCTCCTCCTCCCCCTGCACATCCAGCCTCCTCTTACCCCTTCTCCTCCTCCTCCTCCTCCTCCTCCTCCTCCTCCTCCTCCTCCTCCTCCTCCTCCTCCTCCTCCTCCTCCTCTTCCGCTCGCGTGGGAAGGACGTCGTCGTTTTGGCACGCCCGAAATGGGCACGCTGTCGAACAACAAACGTGGTTCAAAACCGACACCAGCCGCTGTTGGGCAGGCGCCTGTTTGCCTCAAATCGACAACGTCCGCGACGACGCCGACAGCGAATCCTGCATGTGAGAAGATTGGTGAAGGAAGAGTAGCGCAGCGTAAATAGCACAGGAGGGTGTCAGAGGGCTCCAAGACCACCTAACAAGAGGCATGCGTGCCAAGGATCGTACAATTACGGATGCGGAACATTGGGGGACGGTGATGGCGCCAAGCTCTGCTAGCATTCGGAACTGCGCGAGTGCTGCGCGACACGCCGGCGAACGACCATGACGAGACAGCGACGAATTGCAGCCCCCCTCACTCAAAATCGTCGATCAAAGTCGTCTGACTCGGCAGGGACGTCACCAGGGAGGCCACGGGGTCCAGGGGAGGCCACGACGACACGAAAATGAAGCAATCTCAAGCCCTAGGGGGCGACGGGGGAGGCCAGGGAAGCCACGGCAGGAGGGGGGGCGGGCAAGGCCAGGGAGGCCAGGGGAGGCCAGGGGAGGCCACGACAACACACCGAAAAGAAAGCAATCCGAGGCCCTGGGGGGGGACGGGGGGGGCCAGGGGGGAGGCCCGAAAGGCCAGGGCAGGGGGGCCACAGTGGAGGCCACGACGACACGGCGACGACACAGAAACAAAACAATCCGAAGCCCTGGGAGGGCGGGGGAGGCCAGAGAGGACAGGGAGGCCGGGGGGGGGTCATCAGGTAGACCAGAGGGGGCCAGGGGAGACCATGACGACGCGCTGACGACATAAAAACAAAGTGGTCCCAAACTCTGGGGGGGACGGGAGAGGCCAGAGAGGCCAAGGGGAGAGGCCAGAGAGGTCAGGGAGACTCAAGAGCTGGAGGCCATGCCAGGGTGGCCAGGGACCCAGGCCACGAAGCAATCCGAAGCCCCGTAGGGGTTGCGGGGGAGGCCAGGGGAGGCCAGGGAAGAGAGGCCGGGGGCCATGCCAGGGAAGCCGTGCCAGGGGTACCATGCCAGGGGGGGGGGGGGCCCGGGGCCAGGGCTACAAAGCAATCCGAAGCCCTGGGGAGGACGGGGGCCACCAGGGAGGCCAGGGGGGCCAGGGGAGGTCCCAAGAAATCCCCAAGACATTCTCCAGTGCACACTCTCCAGGGCACACTCTCCACGGCACACTCTAGCACGCTCTTCTGCAGACATCTCCAAGACACTCCAGGGCACGCTCTGGCACACCCTCGAAGACACTCTCCAGCACACTCTCCAGCAAGCATCCCCAGGACATCCCCAAGACACTCTTCAGGGCACACTCTAGCACGCCCTCCAGCAAACATCTCAAAGACACTCTCCAGGGCACACTCTCGCACGTCCTCCACACCAACATCTTCAAAACACTCCTAGGCACACTCACGGCCACCACGGCCTACGTAGGAGAGACCGCGACGACACGACGACGGTACGAACAAAAAACGCAGTGCGAGATTACACCGGCAGGTGGGATGGCTTGACAAGCACCAGAAGCACCCTCGCGGGGCCTCCAGAGGCTCCGAGAACAATCCAAGAGGACCTCTGGAGTCGAAAACGGTCGATGAGGCCGCGCGGCGGCGTCACCACTCCACACCAGGCGCTTCCGCCTCAGCTGCGGGCGCTTCCGCCTCCGCCTTCCGTTGTACAGGTGTGCAACGCAATGACAAGACTCACACGCGACACACGAATCTGGTTCAAAATGGGCAAGGCCTGCCATCAATCGTTGCACCCATTGTTTCCGCTCCTCCTCCTCCTCCTCCTCCTCCTCCAACTCTCCCTCCTCCAACTCTTCTTCTTCCTCCTCCTTCTCCTCCTCCTCCTCCTCCTCCTCCCCCTCCTCCTCCTCCTCCTTCTGTCGGTCCCCGGGATCGTTGCCTTGTCGCCGCCGCCGGCGCTCCTCCACCCCGAGACGACCCGAGAGACCGGCGCACCTGCCAGCCCGGCCCAGAAGACGGTGCTGGTGCGGCCGACGGCGACGGGCACCTCCATTCGACAGGAAGAGGAGGAGGAGGAGGAGGGGGAGGAGGGGGAGGAGGAGGAGGAGGAGGAGGAGAAGGGAGGGAGGGAGGGCGGGAGGGAGGGAGGAAGGGAGGGAGGGAGAAAGAGGACGGGGGGTACACATCGACCCGCACGGTCAAAACTGATGGCAAGGATGCGCTTTAAGGATGCAAGGGCCTTGGACGCCCATGGCGAGGCTCTTCGAGCGGGGCTGGCCATCAAGAGCGGTTCAGGGTGACCGAAGATGACCGAAGAGGCAAGGAAACAAGGGTGCCCTTGGGAAGTCGCTCATCCTCAACATCAGCTTCGACTGTGGAAACATGAAACAAGAAGGCGGCTGAAATCCGCCGACCCTGTCGGCGTGTGTGAAGGGCTTCTCCTCTCGCGTCGTGCTTTCTTTCCTGCTCGACTTTCTCTAGCCGCATCCAGCTTCCACTCGCCTTTCTCCCGCTCTCCGTCAGCAGAGTCCTCTTCCTTGCACATGCCGTGCCAAGTAATTGATTGAACGTCGTCGATACTTCGAAAGGGGGGCGGACCCCGGGGGGTCCCAGGGGGGTCCCGGGGGGGTCCCAGGGGGGACCCGGGGACCCCCCCCCCAAACCCGGCTCCTCTGGCAGCCTTCGAGAAAACCCGGAGGGCGTCGCGAGGAGCTTCTCGTCCTAATCCTCCTCCCCCTTCTCCTCCTCCTCCTCCTCCTCCTCCAACTCCTCCTCCTGCTCCTCCTCCCCCTCCTCCTTCTCTTCCTCCTGCTCATCATCATCATCATCATCATCATCATCATCATCATCATCATCATCATCATCATCATCATCATCATCATCATCATCATCATCATCATCATCATCATCATCATCATCATCATCATCATCATCATCCTCCTCCTCCTCCTCCTCATCATCATCATCAATCATCATCATCATCATCATCATCATCATCATCATCATCATCATCATCATCATCATCATCATCATCATCATCATCATCATCATCATCATCATCATCATCATCATCATCATCATCATCCTTGTCATCTTCTCCTACTCCTCCTCGTCCTTCTCACCTCCTCCACCTCCTCCTCCTCCTCCTCCTCCTCCTCCTCCTCCTTCTCACCTCCTCTACCCACGCGAGCGTAGACGCCACCCCCACATAAGCATAGACACCCCCCCGAAAGTGGACGTCACCCCGGCACGAACGTGGACGCCCCCCCCCTCCCACGAGCGTGGATCCGACCCCGCACACGAGCGTGGACGTCACCCCCACCCCCTCGCCCCCCGTAAGCGAAAACGTCACCCCCCGAGCGTGGACATCACCCCCACGCGAGCGTGGACGACACCCCCCCACACCAGCGCTGATGTTATTTACCCCCACACCAGCGTGGACGTTACCCCCACACCAGCGTAGACGCCACCCCTGCACGAGCGTGAAGTCACCCCCACACCAGCGTGCGCGTGACATCCACATGGGCGTGGACGTCAATCCCCCACGAGCGTGGATTTCACCCCCCCAACGAGCGTGGACGTCACCCCCACCCGAGCGTGGACGTCACCCCCACCCGAGCGTGGACGTCGCTTCCCCACCCCACACGATCATGGACGTCACCCCACGCGAGCGTGCACGTCACACCCACGAGAGTGGACGCCACTCTCACACGACGTAACCTAATTACACACGAGCGCGGACGTCACACCCACGAGCGTGGACGTCACCCCCACACGAGTGTGGACGTCAGCCCCACACCAGCGTAGATGCCAGTCACCCCCCAGCGTGGAGGTGACCCCCACGAAAGCGTGGACACCACCCCAACACGAGCGTGGAAGTCACCACCCCCTCGAGAGTAGACGTCACCCCCACACGAGCGTGGACGTCACATCCACGCGAGCGTGGACGTCACCCCCACAAATGTGGATGTCACTCCCAGACCAGCGTGGACGTCGCCCCCCCACGCGAGCGTGGACGTCACCCCCCACGAGCGTGGACGTCAGCCCCAGTCAAGCGTGGACGTCATACCCGCACGAGCGTAAACGGGGGTGCCATTGGGGCAAATTGTGCCACCATGCAAGAGGGAAGCAGGAGGAGGACGCGGCCGAAAGAGGGAGCGGTGGTAGCAAGCCGCTGCGGGGGACGGGTCACGCCCCGAGCCAAGACGTCATCCACGCACACACACACACACACACACACACACACACACACGCGCGCGCACGCTGGCGTGGGCGTCACATCCAGCGTCCCCGCCCCCCCAACGAGCGTGGACGTCACCCCTCCCTCACAAGCGTGAACGTCACCCCAACTCGAGCGTGGACGTCACCCCCCACGAGCGTGGACGTCACACCCAAGCGAGCGTGGACGTCACCCCGCCCCATCGTGAACGTCACCCCCACGCGAGCGTGGACGTCACCCCCCCCCACGAGCGTGGATTTCACCCCCCCACACGAGCGTGGACGTCACCCCCACCCGAGCGAGGACGTCACCCCTCCACGAGCGTGCACGTCACACCCACACGAGCGTGGACGTCTCCCCCACACGAGCGTGCGGACGTCGCCCCCCCCCCCCCCCACGAGCGTGGACGTCACCCCCGAGCTGGCTGCGGCGGCGAGGAGGGGAGGAGGCAAGAGCCGAACGTCTGGTGGCCGGTGGCCCGATCATTGCTCGAAGCGCGGGCCCCGGGGCCGGCGCCTCGACCCGAGCGGCGAGGAGCAGGGCGCCTTGGTTTTGGTCGACTCAGCGGGCGTCTGGAGGGGAGGGGGGCGGGGAAGGGAGGCCCGAGGGGAGGGTGGAGCGCAAGGAGCCAGGGGTCAGGCCAGCGGGGCGCGGCACGATCAGAGCTCCGCCCCTTCCTTATGGATCCGCCGACCCTGTCGGCGTGTGTGCAACGTTTTTCCGTTTGCGTCGTCGTCGTCGTCGTCGCTCCCCTCGTTTCCCTGGGTCCTCATCCTCAAGCGCGCCAGGCAGACTGCAGAGGGAACAACGTCGTAATCGAGTCGAAGGGGAACACCTTCCCTTTGATCCCTTCCCCGCGGGGGGGAGGGCGCGGAGGGGGGTCCCGGGGAGAGGTGGAGGGGGGGCCAGAGATACGCCAGCTCTCCCTGGGACTGAACATAGCTCCAAGAGGCCTCCAGATAGCCCAAGAAAGCTTTGAAATCGCTCAAGATACCCTACGATTATTCTAGAGATAGCTTCCAACATGCCTCGAAGAGACCTCAGGTCCGCTCCAAGGCGGCTCCTGGTAGCTACGGACCGTTTCCCAAGGAGGCGAAGATCATTCAAAACCCAGGTGTTTTCCATGTATTTAGCTTTTTCACCTTTCGCTTTCGATGGACTCTTGAAGCCTCAAGATGGCTCTAAGATGGCCCGAGAAGGTCTCCAGAGGCCATCAGGAGGTCCCCAAGAGGGCCCCAAGAGGGCCCCAAGAGTGCCCGAGAGCACCTCAATATCACGACAAGAAAACCCACAGAGTCTCATTGCCGCGCCCTGGCGTGGGGAGGCACACAGAGAGCCCTCCTCCTGTGATCGATGGCCTCCAAGATGGCCCCAAGAGGCCTCCCATGGCCTCTCAAAGAGCCCCAAGGGAGTCCCAGGAGAGCCCCGACAAAGGCCCAAGAGAGCCCACGAGGACTCCGAAACGGCCTGGGGAGGGTCCCACGATGACCCCAAGCGGGCCTAAGAGACATCCAAAATGGACCCAGGAGGCCCTACGATGGCCCCAAGAGGCCTGCCCCTCTCTCTCTCTCTCTCTCTCTCTCTCTCTCTATCTCTTGTTCTCCCTCCTGCTGCTCAACTTTTCACTGTCAATGTCTCTTGCTGCCCGTTGCGCACAGGGCCCGACCGCAGCCCGGGAAGGTCCCGTGAAGGTCCCAGGAAGGTCCCGGGAAGGTCTACTCAGAGATGGTTTTCCTCCTGGGTACGGCCTCTCAGGCCCTCCAGAGCGCGCCAAGATGGCCCCAAGAGGCCCCCAAGACTGCCTAAGAGGCCCCCGAGACGCCCAAAGGACGCTCCAAGACGCCGAAGATGATCCCAAGACGGCCCAAGAAGCCGCCAAGACGCTCCAAGTGGCCTCCAAGAGGCCTCACAAGAGCGCCCCGAGAGGCAAAAATCATAAATTTTACAATCGTTTTGGACGGATTTTGCCCTTGTCGCATTTTCGGCTTTCCGATGCTCCAAGACGGCCCAAGAGGCCCCCAAGAGCGCACGAAGACAGCTCAAGAGGCCCCCAAGAAGGCCCCCAGAGAGCCCAAACAGGCCCCGAGACGGCCCAAGAGACGCCCAAGACGGCCCAAGAGAGCCCCAAGACGGCCCCAAGAGGGGCCCAAGATGGGGACCACGAACCGAAACCTCAAGCCTTCTGCCCCAAGAGGGCCCCAGGAGGCCCCGAGAGGCCCCCAAGATGGCCCAAGATGCCGCCAAGAGGCCCCCAAGAGACCCCCAGGAGGCTCCAAGGAGGCTCAAAAGAGGCCCTACAAAGCTTCAAACATGTCTTCCAGGCGCCCCCGAACGGCCTCTCAACAGAACCCAGGGCCTCCCAAAGAAGCATCTGGACGACGGCCCTGTTTGGCCCCAAGAGCGCCGCAAGATGCCATCGAGAGGCTTCCTCCTCCGCCCTTTTCTCTTCCTCCTCCTCCTCCTCATATTTATCTTCATCCTCCTCCGTTCCTTCTCATCCTCTTCTCCTCCTTGTTCCTCCTTCCGGCGGCGCCGAAATGGCCCCGAGCCCGCGCCGAAGCAGTAGCGATCATGCAATACGGGCCGGCGGAGTGAGCGAAGCGATTGAATAACTTCTCCCTGTCACACAACCAGACGTATCAGTAGGGCGGGCCAGGCATGTCGCCTGAGACTTCCTCACCAGTTATTACTCAGAAGCTTGAAATTCACAACAGCTTCATGAATGGAGTGGGGGTCGTTTTCAGAATGGAGCCCTCGCATCAGCGCCGCGTACATTCGTCTCAAAGGTTTGAAGCATGGATGGAAGGGGGTCGTTTCCAAAATGGAGTTCTCGCCTTAGCGCCGCGCACTTTCGTCTTAAAAGTCTGCAACAAGTTTGAAGATAGATGGCGGTTCCCTTTCAAAATGGGGCTCTCGCCTTAGCACCGCGCACACTCGTCTTCTGCAGGGGTTGTGCGCAGTTCCTTTTTACAGTGGGGCTCTCGCATTAGCGTCGCGCACATTCCATTCGTCTTGAAGCTGGCAAATGTTACAGGGGTTATATGGGCGGCTCCGTTTCAAAGTTGGGCCTTCGCTTGGGACTTGAGATTTCGCTTGCAGGTTCCATATTCCTCGCTGGAAGGATGCAAGGCAGCTGGTTCCTTCTCAAAACAAGGCTCTCGCCTGAATGGCAGGCCTATGGGGTGTTGGTCGTTCGAACGGGCGCTTCTTGAAGAAGGAAGGAAGGCTTGTGGGGATTCATGAGGAAAAGACTTGGGACGGAAGGATGTATTGCAGCGTTCTTGTTGCATATTGGGTTAGCTCTTGTCCTCCTCCTCCTCCTCCTCGTGTTCCTCCTCCTCCTCCACCTGCTCCTTCTGTTCCTCCTCCTCCTCCTCCTCCTCCTCCTCCTCCTCGTCGTGAAAGGAAGGGAGGAGAGAAGGCGGAAGAAGCAAGGCGGTGGACCTGCTCCATCATGGTGCCGATGTTCATCGTCACTATGAAGGCCGCCAGCGGCCATCGAACCTCTTCGAATAGGTCGAGTATCTGGCAGGCCCAGCGCTCCTCCTCCCCATCGCATACGCCACTAAACTAGGTCACCGAACTTCGGGCCATCTTCGCGGCATCGCGCCACCGTCCTGGGGAAAGGCACCTCCACAATATCATCAAACCCTAGCCGCGATGCGCGAAGCGCAGTTACCTTCGCGCCCCCTAGGGTGGCCTAGATAGACAGACATGTCGAGTATCCGGCATGCCCAGCGTTCTGCATGCCCTTGTGTAACTGTGAACGCTGCCGGCGGCCACCACACACCCTAACCCTCACACTCACTCACATGGTCTTCGCTGTCGCCCTCGCCCTAAACCTCGCCCTCCCCCTCACCCTCCCCCATCACCCTCACCCACACCCTCACCAATAGAATCATCATCATCATCATCATCATCATCATCATCATCATCATCATCATCATCATCATCATCATCATCATCATCATCATCATGATCATCATCATCATCATCATCATCATCATCATCATCATCATCATCATCATCATCAGAATCCGCCGGCCCCCTTGTGGGGCCACCAGGCTGTAGGCCCGTGATTCGCAGTTTCCTGTACCAGTTGTAGTTTGTAGTTTCCAGTGTTACAGTTCTGCTTCTTGCTGGTTACTGAAACTAGTTGATTGACCGCGCGAGGGGAGGGAGGCCCAAACCAGATTTTTAGCACCACCTGGGCGCGTTGTCTGAATTGCTGGGGGGGCTCAAAATCGCCACTCCTCACGCAGATCCGCGGGGTCAGGGTCCAAAAGCACAGGGGATTTGCCACATTTCTGAAATTCGGTGCCACCCCTCACGCAGATCCGCGGGGTTAGGGTGGTTAGGGTCCAAAAACACAGGGGATTTGCCACATTTCTGAAATTCGGTGCCACCCCTCACGCAGATCCGCGAGGTCAGGGTCCAAAAACAAAGGGGATTTGCCACATTTCTGAAATTCGGCGCCACCCCTCATGCAGATCCGCGGGGTCAGGGTCCAAAACCTGCTCTTCCATGGCCCACTCTCCGAGAGAGGGGGCCGGCGGCAGGGGGCGAAGCCCTTACGGATAATCATCATCCTCATCATTGTCATCATCATCATCATCAACATCATCATCACCATCAGCATCACCATCAGCATCAGCGTCAGCGTCAGAATAAGCTTGAGCATACGCATCAACATGATCGTCATCAGCCTCGCCATCGTCATCATCAGCATCCTCCACCTCCTCATCATCGGCATCATCACCACCAGCACCACCACCACCATCATCATCATCAGCAGCAGCATCAGCATCAGCATCAGCATCAGCATCAGCATCATCATCATCATCATCATCATCATCATCATCATCATCATCATCACCGTCATCATCAGCAGCACCCTCCTCCTCATTCACAGTCGTCATCATCGCTGTCATTGTGGTCATCGTCTTCTACTCATCCTTCTCCTCCTCCTCCTCCTCCTCCTCCTCCTCCTCCTCCTCTTCCTGCTCCCCCTCCTCCTCCTCCTCCTCCTCCTACTTCTCCGTCTCCTCCTCATTGTAGCACTTCGCACACTCATCACTGTTCGTAGCCTCCTCACCCTACACATGGTGTGCCTCCCCGTCGTCAGAACCGTATTGAAAATCGCAATAGTCACCATACTCATCCTCACCATCATCGTCATCATCATCAGCATCACCATCATCATCAGCATCATCGTCAGCATCAGCAGCATCATCAGCATTGTCATAATCATCATCACCACCACAATCATCATCATCATCATCATCATCATCATCATCATCATCATCATCAGCATCATCAACATCATCATCATCATCATCATCACCAACAACATCACCAAAACCGTCATCGCCAACATCGTCATCGTCATCATCAGCATCGACATCAGCAGCAGCATCATCATAAGCATCGTCATCACCATCACACTGAACAAAGTCATCATAGGCTTAATCTTCGACATCACCTAACATCATCATCGGCATCATCATGTGCAGCAGAATCACCATGCTCTGCTCACAACCCTCATCATCAACAACGGCAGCAGCATCAACACTAGCAACAGTAGTATCAGCATCAGCATCAGCAGCATAGGCAGCAGCCTCATCCTCGTCGGCATCACCATACTCGCCTGCAGCATCTTCTTCACCACCATCATCATCAGCATCAACAGCATCAGCCTCATCGTCGTCATCATCAGCATCAACCTCCTCATCATATGAATGGGCATCATCACCACCACCACCACCACCATCAGCATCCTCAGCCCCACTCATCATCATCATCAGCAGCAGCATCAGCAGCATCATCGTCATCAGCATCATCATCGTCACCGTCATCAGCATCATCGTCAGCAGAAACATCATCTTCATCTTCATGTTCATCATCATCATCCGCGTTATCAATATCGTCATCGTCGTCACCGTGACCAGCATCAGCATCATCAGCACCAGCCGTCTCATCCACCTCCACATTGTCGTCCTCGCCTCGACCTCATCAAACGTCATTCTCATCATCACCAGCATCATCAGCCTCATCGTCGTCGTCGGCGTCATCACCATCAGCAGCATCATGACAAATCATCATCATCATCATCATCATCATCATCATCATCATCATCATCATCATCATCATCATCATCAGCATCAGCATCAGCATCAGCATCAGCATCATCATCAGCAGCATCAGCATCAGCATCATCATCGTCGCCGTCATCATCATCACCAACACCATCACCATCATCCTCATCACCATCATCATCGTCGTCATCATCGCCATCGTCATCGTCATCAGTAGCAGCAGCAGCATAATCATCATCATCAGCCTCGTCATCATCCTCCTAGTCCCTAGTCGTCGTCATCATCACCATCACCGTCATCAGCAGCAGCATCAGCAAGAACATCATCATCATCATCATCATCATCATCATCATCATCACCATCATCATCACCATCAGCATCATCATCATCATCATCATCATCATCATCATCATCATCATCATCATCATCATCACCAGTAACAGCATCATCAGCATCAGCATCATCAGCAGCATCATCAGTATCAGCATCGGCCGCGACAGTATCAGCACAAACACACTCTGAGAGAGCGACTTCTGCGTACGTTGCACTGGCGGCAAAATCTCAGCCCCCCCTTCCCTGAAATCAAGAGGCCCTCCCCTCCGAAAATCACCCCCCCTTCCCTCCAGAACCAGGACACCCCCCCTCCCCAGCGAGAACCCCCCCAATAGGGGGGGGTCGAACCCCCAACCCCCCCTGGCAACTGGCAAACAACTCACGTCGTCGTCATCGTCGTCGTTGTTGTTGCTGTTGTCGTCGTCGTTTGCCAGCGCCAGGGGGAGGGGTTCGAACCCACCCCCCGACTCTCGCCATCGAGGTGGGGGAAGGGGGCGGGGGTACGACACTCTCTCCACGATCATCACCTCGCCTCCCTCTTCCCTCACTCCCCTTCTCTGGTCCTCATTCCCGTCCTACAACTCGTCACTCCATCATCTGACCCTCACTCCTCCCCCACATCCTGCCGTGCCTCATCATGACTCCCTCAGCCCTCGCCCCATCCGATACGACTCCTCCCTCCATTATCATTCCCTCCTCCCTCCCCCTTGCCTCAACCCTCTTCCCTCCACACTCCATCGTCCACGCTCCTTCAATCCTGCCCTCCCTAGCTGCAGGCCTCGGGGTCGTTGTCGAAGATTGCACCGATCTGGCGCGGTATGGAGATAACCTTAGTGCCCCCCCCGTCACTGGCACTCTTCTGTCAGCTGCAATCTACCAGCCTCCAAAACCCAATAGGAGGTGGACGAGAGGAGGAGGCTTTGAAGTTGGAGCCGGAGGGGGGCCTGAGGTTGCCCAGCAGTGGAGAAAGGGGCCCCCTCGTCGCCACGGCTGGACGCAGCTCGAAAAAAATCCGCCGGCCCCCTTGTGGGGCCACCAGGCTGTAGGCGCGGGTTCGCAGATTCCTGTACGAGTTGTAGCTTGTAGTTTCCAGTGTTACAGTTCTGCTTCTTGCTGGTTACTGTAACTAATTGACTTCTTGCTGGTTACTGTAACTAGTTGATTGACCGCGCGAGGGGGGGGAGGCCCAAACAAGACTTTTAGCCTCCCCTGGGCGCGTTGTCTGAATTGCTGGGTGGGCTCGAAATCGACACCCCTCACGCAGATCCGCGGGGTCAGGGTCCAAAAACACAGGGGATTTGCCACATTTCTGAAATTCGGTGCCACCCCTCACGCAGATCCGCGGGGTCAGGGTCCAAAAACACAGGGATTTGCCACATTTCTGAAATTCGGTGCCACCCCTCACGCAGATCCGCGGGGTCAGGGTCCAAAAACACAGGGGATTTGCCACATTTCTGAAATTCGAACCCATCACGCACATCCATCGCAAGGCGTGGTAACCCAAACTGCGAGAACTCCCTCGGCCCTTTCATCGCAAGGTGTGGTAACCAAGCCCTTAAACCATACACGTCTTACCAATCGCCAGGTGTGGTAACCCCTCTTGTGATCAGTTGGTTTTGCTGATTGCGACTCGGCTTCGCATGAAGTTTCGATACTGCTTCACGACAGCGCCAAGGCCTCATGACTTAGCTCTTTCATGGCCCATTCTCCGAGACAGGGGGCCGGCGGCAGGGGGCGAAGCCCTTACGGATTACCAGGTTTGACACCTGGAGGGGTCCAGGAACCGATTTTGAGCGGATTTGTCTTCGTCCCCGCCTCTTGGCCGATCTTCTCGGGGACCACCCAACGCAGACCCCCATGCCGCTTCGAACTCTGAAGGGGCTTCTACAGATAGCAAAGGATGAATCGACTTTGATGTGCCAGTGGGATACTGAGATACGGCCTTCGAGAAACCACCAACACGTGATCCTCATGTAGAAATGGAACTACGCGCTGTTCCATCTGAGCGGCAGCCGAAAAACTGGTCTTCCGCGAGATGGCATAGCGACCTAATGCCGCAGCGTACGCGGGCCGCCAGCGCGGCACGCCATACTGGAAGCGAGGGCACTTGCGCGCGACCTTACCCGGGACGCTTACGCGCGAATGTCGGCGAAATCGATCCCGTTTTTCTGTCGCTCACCTGACAATCGCCATGCCTTCCACGGGAACGGTTTCTTCTTTGGCGTTTCGACATTGGACTGAAGGGGGAGAGGGGAAGTCTGGCTCCAGACCTCTGCTTAGTGCGACTGTTTGCACCAGTGCGTCCTTTGGGGGAGATTCCACCTGCTTGAAACAGGCGCCACTACTCCATGGGGGGGAGCGCCAGGGCCCAAGAAGAACACGACAACCAGAGAGGACCTTCAGGTCTGCAAATGTTTGGGGAGGGGGCCCTTCAGTTCTCGGGGAGGAGGAGGAGGAGGAGGAGGAGGAGGAGGAGGAGTAGGAGGAGGAGGAGGAGGAGGAGGAGACGGTGACGGGGCCCCTGGTGACGCCGAAAGAGGACATGGGCGAGCAGGGCGGGGAGACGGTCGCCCCGCCTTCGGAGATCGATCGAGGTCATCAAGCCCGATATGATCAGCACGGAAGCCGACCCCTCCGCCATCGTCAGCATCTCGGGAAACGAAGCCATATTGAGCGACCACAGCAAGAGTCGCACATAACCAATCAGATCACATTCTGACGGCCAGGGAAGAACGCCGGAAGTGAGTGAGCATCACACTAGTCAGGACGGGAGCTGGGAAAGAAGCTCGCCGTCTACCTCAGCTGTAGTTTCTTTAGATTCGAGCGCAGGCTTGGGGAGAAGCCCGCCAGTCTCAGACACCTCGGCAGGTCAACAGATTTGCAGCGAGGTCGTGCCCAACTCCAGTCCCTCAGGAGATGGGGCATCAGCTTTTCTGTCAACGCCAGTCGATTGGACTGGCTCAAGCATGCACTCTGATCTGTCGGGCAGCTTGATCAGGAGCACGCATGACAGCAGACATTCGGGAAGTATCATGCTGGGTGCACCTCGTAATTTTCTCAGCCTCTTGCGTCGGTGGCAGCAGCGCACGGCCCAGTTTAGCCACCCTGCTGTCCTGCATGAGAAAGCGCGCTTCTGCACCGAGACGCCACAGCACCCCCTCACCTCGTCCTTTCTCCCTCCTGCTGCTTCTGCTCACGGTTGCCTGGACCCTGGGGCTTTCGCCCCGCCTCCTGGGGGGCATGCACATCCAGGCTGTGAGCCCTACCCCCACCCCAGCGAGCCTGGATTTGGAATTGCGGCAGCAGCTCGGGAGCCCAGAGGACAGCATCATCTGCCCCATGCCGAGCATACGCAATCTGGATCGCGACATCGTCCAGATACCAGGCCTGTTTCCGCATCCCTCTGCCCAGCTCGCCCCCGCGCTGGCTCCCCGCATTACTCAGCCCCCTTTGGCCCTGCACATCTTTACGGATGGCCCCCGTTCTCCCGAGGGCCATTCCAAGTGCGGCTGGTCGCTTGTGCTGGTTTGGGTAACTGCCAACGGGGGCATGCACTTCGGGGGGGGGGGGGGGGCGCTTTCTGGGGAAGCCTGGAGGACGCCTTCCCATGGATGCCAAGGGCCGCCTCCAGCCAAGACCCCGACTCATGGCCATACTGTGGGCCACGTTCTATGTCCCCCTGCACGCCCCCCGCGCGCCCGTGACCCCGGGGTCGGACTCGATGGCGGCCCTCGACGTCGCGGCTAAGAGCAGCTCATATAAACACCATCCCCCTCTCGGGGGAGCCGCCAGGCAGTTTGTCAGCACCCACGCGCCGGGGGTAAGTTCTTGCTCTACCACGCTGCGGCCCACAAGGGCCACCCTCGGAACGAGATGGCCGATTCGCTTGCTAAACGTGCTGCTTGGGGTCAGACTTCTCTTCTGCCTGACCACTTCCTGAAAATGTTCGATGCTTCCCCAAGCAATTAGTGGTCCTGGATCCCGCCCCCCCCTGTTGAAGACCGCGTGGCCTACCCGTCACTGCGGCAGATCGGACCCCAAAGGGGCCAAGGTGAAGATGCACTCTCGATCAACGGAGCCCCAGCTTTCTTTGAGCTTCCTCCTTCCCGACCTCAGGCTCGTTTCTCGCCTTTCCCGCTAGCCAAGGGCTGGCCCATTCTAGAGCAGGCTTCCAGGGCACAGGCCCAGAGGCAGGAGCGAGAGAGACGACGAGGAGGCCAGACCGACAACCGCTACCGACAGTGTCGGCAACAAGGGCAGCGACGGCATGACGACCTTCACCCTAGGTCTGGCCAATTACAATGCACTCTCGGCTTGCGACTCCGATCGAGCATCGGCTCGACACAGGAAGAAGGCCAAAGGGCCCATACTCCGCACCCAGTTCTGCGAGAGAGGAATCCATTTCGTGGGGGCTCAGGAAGCTCGAACCAAGGCTGGAAAGCACCAGGCGGGGCAGTTGTTCGCCCTGGCCTGTGGGGGGGCCAGCAAGGAAACCCGGGTTGCGAGCTTTGGATCAATACTGAGACCCCCTACGCGTCATTCGAAGGGGGCGAGTTGTACTTCAAGCCTGCTCATGCCCCCCCCCCCTCCACTTGGACCCCAGGAGGCTGGGAGCTCGTATTTCCGCCCCGTCCTTCAATCAGGGTTTCTGGGCGCTGCGCACCCCACATAGCAAGGCCCCCCCTCTTGTCCGCAGAGCCTGGTGGGAGGAAGCTAACTGCCTTCTCAGCAGATGGCCGCCCGACTGCATCACGATCGACGCGAATGGTCGAGTCGGGCTGGGACCCGATACTCCAGGGGTGGGGGATTTTGGTTTCGCTCAACCTGTCGATGACAACGGGCGGGAGCTCTGCGACACTGTCGTCGAACTCTCGATCCGCGCGTCTACCACCAAGAGGGCCCCTGAAACGGAATCCTACTCGTGGACTTCGGATGCCCCTTTGAACCAGAGGATTGATTACATCCTCCTTCCTTCTGGCCTGGACCAGGCCATGACCCGTCATGGAGTTTGGCATGCGTTCGATTCCATGCACACCAAGCTTGGTAACTACCCTGGCTACGCCTACCTTGAGTAGAGTGCCAATTGGAAACACCGCCCCCCCCCCCCCCCCCATGGGATTTGACAAGCAGGCGTTGGTTAACCCTCAGTCTCGGCAAGTTGCCACGTCGGTTCTTCTCAGTTAGCCCCTGGCCCTTTTCGGAACCGACCCCAACGTGCACGCCGATGTGGTGAGGGGCCAGATCTTGGGAGCTGCCCTTCAAGCGTTCCCCCCTCCCACTAGGCAGCCACGCAAGCCATGTGTCTCCAGAGGCGCCCTGCACCTGATCCAGACAAGGCGCAGCATCAGGGGGGGGTTGGGAGCCCCCAAGCCTCGTTTTGCCCAAGGTGCCTTGGAGTTGGCTGCCAAGCTCATGGCCTCGGACCCCCTGGTGGATGATCCGCGCTCGGAAGGTGTCAACTGTTTCGCCCGCATCCAGTTGAGTGCCCTCTGGACGTTGGAGAATAACCTGACCCTTGAGGGCCAAATACAGGAGTTTGTGATCTTCCTCAAGGCCAGCAAATACGCCCTGGCCAAATGGCTAGAGCTCAACCGCGTCGCCCTGCTCGATAACATGGCGGACGAGCACGGGGAGCGAGCTCGCAGGGGGGACCCCGCGGCGCAAACGGCAGCGCATCAAGGCATGGCTTGCGTTCGGAGGGCGAAAAGGGAAATAACACCAACCCCACTTCGCGCCTCGCGTGGACTCTCAGGGGTCTGTCCTGGATACCCCCCGGCGGTGGCCGAAGATGTGCACGAGCTCTTTGCCTCCCAAGAGTGTGCACTTAAG